ACGTTCCATCTAGTGCTCCTAGACATCCCTAACGAAAGATAAGTACCAAACAATTATTAGTTCGAGATAATTCAACTAACAAATTTGTAACACGTAGTGAAATGTGGTGTAGGTTACCTTAAACCATTTCCACCTTCCATTGACACAATCCGCCTCAACTGCCTGAGGTTTCACAGCTAGGATGGAGTGAAGTCGGATGACAACGTCAAGAACACGATTAAAGTATTTTCTTATTGTTCGACCAGATCTTACAAAATCAAGCTTTAATGTGACGTTCTTCTTATGATGGGCCAGGACTGGGAGAAAAATTGCAACTTGTTCACTTGGTGGAACATTTCTATATTGTCTAAGTCCCCCAATGGTTTCAAGAAGGTGACAAAGACGGCTAAAGGAGTTACGATCCATACGGAGGTTCTCAGCACAAGTTGTGTCGCTCACGTCTATCAACCTTCGCATGTAAGTGATCTGATGAGGGAGTCTATCACTAGCTCGATATAACAGGACTTGCTCACTGGACGCACGTCCACGTCTTCGCCTAGGGCGGATGAATTTAATATAGTAATAAATAGATAGTAGCAAAAAAAGTTGAATACTACTAATGACCTCTTCCAATATGGTAACAATAGCTAATTCCTCTGCAACGGAATCCATCTACAAATTTGGATAAACAAACCTCATTTTACAAAAGGTGAACATGGATTTCATGTTAAGACAATGAATAAAACTTCTAAAACCATCTATTACATATGGTACTATTGATTACAAGTCATGATGATGCCACACCAAACAAATCATAGACAGAATTCTTATAGGTTAGAGAAAAATCAAGTGGAAAGTCATCTAAAAGCAATGAATGAATTAAGATTTAACAACACTATCAAAACTAATTACTTGTAGGATACCAAAAAAGAAAACAAATCCCTTTTTTATTCACATCATGAAACAAATTTATACTTTCCACTCGACTACAACAAAATACTCTAAAAAGCTGACAACAAGAAACAATCTTTTCATCCTTAGAAACAAGTATACAGAACATATTTGCCAAAACAGATACATATTACAACTAACAAGCAAATGCTAAATCTAATAAAAAAAGTGAATAATCCTCAAATTATTAGAATGACTCAACTAACTAGAATCACTCAATTAACCAGAAACTGACAAAAATTTGATAAAAACATCCTTGTTTCTTTCACATGCTGCAACAATTTTTTAATTTCCATTTCGCTATAAAAAATTCAAAAAAAGTATACAAAACATAAACAATTATACAAAACACGAACAATTATAAACTATTAGCCACAAAAACAGAAACAGAAAACAAAGACAGACACTATAAGTTCCAGAGCAATTATACCTCAGTGTACAATAATACAGGCAATAATAATTGAGCAGCAGACAACATTTCAAACTATGAGGCAACTATTATGTACCCTATAATAAAAGTTACAAGATTGGCACTGTGGCAACAAAATGTACCTATAGTATTTCAGGTTTCCTAACTGAGGAAGGTGCTAAAGTCTAAGCATCTACTTCAACAAAATACACAGTTACCTATCAATGCCCTAATATACACTTAAAAAGAATGAAGCCCTAATGTACACTTCAAAAAACGAACCCAAACTATTTCACCAACTAACCAACGCAAAAGAAGCCCTAGCAGGTTGAACTGTGACATGTATATATCAATGTTTAACAAATAAATTTAAATTAAATGAATCAGAAATCGTCTGCAAATATATAGGTGTTTGAATGGGAAAAAAATATGGAAGAAAAAGAAAAAAATGAACCACAAATGAGCAGATTGAACTGTGACATATATATAGCAATGTTTAACAAAAAATTTAAATTAACTGAATCAGAACTCGTATATAAACATATTGGCGACCGACATTGGCACAAAAAATCAATGGAAGAAAAAAATAACTGAAGCAGAAATTAGCAGATTCATGACCTCGAATTTGGATTGGAGTATTTGTTGTCGCGATCCGTCGACCAAGAACAAGCAATTGCAACGACACCTGCGAGTTCACAAGAGGAGCAATTACAATAAAGTCGAAAAAATTAACTCAAATTCGAAGTAGAAGCAGAAGATAGGGCATTTACGCAGGAGCTGCTAGGGTTATGTTAGTATCGAGTTCGAGCAGATAGATCCAATAATCGTAAGATTTTTTGGTTTTATAAATACTAGATTTGTAAATTTGGTGACATTGAGGGGTATATTGGACATCTTGCTGCCTATTTTTTGAACAAAGTTGGAATATGACAGAGCGGATTAAAAAATTCGGTTAAACTGAGCGGATTAAATTAACCTCACACGTCATTTAAATGTCATTGGACCCACCTACCAGCTAATTGACACATCATTTTTTTCCTATCATTAACCTGGCTAGTAAATGGATGATTAGGTTGGTTAACCAACCTAATCCAATCCTATCTCTGCTAGTAAACGACGCCTAGATATGTTTTGATAAAGAATTGTTAGATAATTATGGACACAATAGATTTATTAACTTACAAGATTTTAAAGACTTGTTTTGAAATATAAAAATGATCAAAGGCGAAATACCAATTATAGTAAGTTTTACAAATTTAAGCGGGAAAAAGACATACTACTTTCGCATTTTTTCTTAGATCTATTATATAATAATTGATATTTATCAATCTTTCAAAAACTTGGAATCACTTTACTAAAAAAGAAAAATTCAAAGTAGTCATTAATTTAAATATTCTCAAAATTTCTGAGAATACCCGAAAACTATGGTCAAATAGAAAAAAATTAGAATTATAGGATAATGACAAACTATAATCATAGCAAATAAATTATGTGATTATAATATCTACATTGTTTTAAATGAAATATTTCATTAGGTAGTTAAGTTTTCAAACATCCCTAAAACATTTTCAATATATGTGTTAATACTCAATTTTGGCCTCGCCTATTAAAATATGACACGTGGATATGTATTATATCAATTGTTTTATTTTAGGGCCAAAAAAATAATACCGCTTGTAATAATAACGGGCCCACCAAAAACAAATATATATACCCCAATGATGGACGTCATAGAGATAAGTCTGAGGGGCCATAATTACTTTTTTTCTCTCTGATCCTACAAACAGAGGCGGTGCCTTCATGGCTCCCTCGAAAACAATTCTTCTTTGTTCTTCATTTTATTCATTCAATCACACAAATATTCAACAAAAATTAATTGTAAATCCAATTTTCTGAATACCCCATGTTGATACAATTTCGCATATCAACAGTTTGGCGCTAGAAGGAGGACCCGAAATTTGTTCGGGTTAATCTTCGCCACAAAAATAGCTACATCTCTATCGAAAAAGACCACTCTCCAAGCTAAGCTATCTCACTTTACTGGCTCTGTCTTCATTTCTCTGTTCTTTAGAAATTCTGATTATGATTCTGTACAAGTGTCTTTCTTTTTCCCAGTATAAGCTTTTCGCTGAAAAAAAAAAAAAAAAAAGGTCACAGACAGCAGAAAAAATTTTGTTTCCTAAGTTAGTGTGCATAAGTTCTCCTTTCTGGAAAAGAAAATGATGAAGAGCAAAATATTGTTTTATATTAAATAAGAATAGGCCACGTAGCCCGTTATTGCTATTTTCTTTTTTTCCTTGACCAAGAAAAGGCCACGTCACCCACCACTATGTGTTTTTCAGCTTTCTTTGACCACGACTATACTTTTTTCAGCTTTCTGGGAACACGAAGCAGTGACGTTGCATATTACCGCTTGATTTTCTCTTATCACAAAAACAAAAATAATAAAAAAAAAGAGGAGAGAGGCAGAAAGGGATGTTACGTTTGCAGTACAAGGTCCACAGTATGAATTATGAAGAGATGATAAGTGATAACAAAGCCCAAAGTTTCGCCAGCAACAACCGACAGTTTCCCCGACTGGAAACATTTCACGACAGGGGCAGAGCTCTAATCTCTTAACCATGACCGACTACGCTGCTGTGGGCTTCCCAATGACATAGCTCAAGTTAATCAAACACCGGCCAAGTTCAACAACTGCAACCTTGGAACCAATTATATCGGATTTTATCCACCATTGGGTCTCGACGTGACCAGAGCAGAGCACCTAGGGCCCGGAAATTCTGATGCAAATCTTTAACGTCGAACCAGTCATGCCTGAAGCGGGACTCCTCATTTCACTCGGGTCGACCTCGCCTCCTCCGATGAGCCACCGACCTGCTTGACGGCCGGGCCAATTTTGTTCTATCCGGCTGACAGCCGAGATGCCCGACTCGGCTGGGGCCAACCTCAATTCCTCCGACGAGCAACCGACATACAACACTAAGCAGCACCGACATCCTGACTTAACCACGACCGACCTCACTTCGGGCAGAATGTCATACAACCGATCTTGTGAGCCCGTATGGATCTCAGCTCGGGATCGATCGACCAACTTCGCAAGCTAATATCGAACTACCAACCTCAAACTCGGCTGACATCATCAACACCGACTTTCGTGTCACCTTTCTCGATCTCACCAATTTCTTTACAACCGAGGTCATTCTCACTTTTTCCCGACCTGCACATCGGAACCGAGCTCGTTACCCCCACCTCAGGGGCGTCCCGACCTCACTGATATCGAGCCCTAAAATTCGACCGGGGCCCGACTTTAATATCATCAAGTGTCGAGATTCGACCTTTCCGTAACCCAGAATGAACACCCAAACATCAAACCGAGGTCCGAACTCACCTCCTCCGGCGATCCACCGAGCTGCAAGTTTTAGTCAGAATCGACCTTCGCCTTTTCGCAGCAGATCAAGATTTGACCTCTCTGAACTTTACAATAGCAGCCAAGTCCAATCTTGTCGCCGATTTCCAAATCATGACGAAACCTGGTATTTATGTCAACAATTCGGG